GTGGAGCTCCTATGTGCACTGTACACGCCTACCCCAATGTGTTCCCAGAAATCCTGCTCCTCAATGATAGACTCAGTAAGCTCCTGAGCAAGACGATCCGTGGCAAAACCGTATATCCCACAGATATCCTGGGCAGAGATCCTGTATTGAATCCCACTAGCCATGAAGCTCAAAAATCAATGCCTAGCGTCACTCCTTCGCTCCGGATCAATAGCCCCACAATACACCCTAACCGATGCAAAGAATTGCATCACCAAATCGGGGTACAAATCATGTGTCCTCGTTGCTATTGTCTTCAAACTAGCTTTGTCCAACAACTGACAGACCCCATCTTTGATTCTCAACCCACTCATTGTCCGTGGATGAGCATACCGTGTAGGCGTGATTGTCACCTTCAACCATTCGTTATAAAGCAACGAGTCAAAATCATCCCACACATTGTTAACCGCCCTCTTGGTAACCTCTGAACTCTATAGGACCTTCTTGGGCACGTCATCAAACACCCTTTCGATTACGAATTCGGTTGCCTCTGGTCTAGGCCAAGGATGTTGAGGATTGGGTTGAACAGCGGGTTGAGAGCTCGATGCCTCCTGGTTTCTCGGTCTCTTGTTCCTCTGTGAAGCCATCTACAAAGAAAACAAACAAGGAAAACAACCAAATCCGAAATTAGCACAAGACAGAATTTTCTGGGCATTTGCGTCGATCGACGCAAACATTCTGCGTCGGTCGACGTAGCATAAGCTGATTCCGAAAATCTGCAATTCAAAGCATCGAATCCTCAAACAATCAATCACAACACTCACGGCAACAACAATCCATTCCCAATTTCTACCCTAATCGTTCCACATTCTAATTTTTAACAAGTTTTATCTCAAAACCAATAAACTCTAACAAATCCCTAAAACTTGCCAAATAAACTGAATTAAGCACATGTATATGTCGAATTCACTCTAAAAACAACCTAAATAGGCCGGATTTATCAATGTAAAAGAGTGAAAAGAGATGAATTTCGAAACTCAAACCTTGAAATCGAAACAGAAAAGAGGAGTTTTCGAAACATACCTTGCAGATCGAACAAGTGAGTGATAGAAATGAAAAGAGGATGGAAATCTACTCAAGTTAGGCTCAAAAACCACTCAATTCGGTGTAGAAACGAAAAAGTTATGGGGGCTCAAAATCTCTCTTTGTGTTTTGCGAAGAACAAAGTGAGGAGGAAGAAGAAAAAAAACGTCGGGTGTTTTAAAAACACTTACCTCGTGTAGTCCGCTGGGTGCGTCGATCGACACACAGGGGCTGTGTCGGTCGACGCAGGGTCTGTTCCAAAAATCTC